TATATATATCATCAACCATAATAATAATATTAATAATCGCTTCTACAGTTGTGAGTGTAGAGTAAAGCGGGGAAATACGCCGCGCTGGGGAATATGCCGCAGTTCGGTATATGCCCTGTAAGCTGTTGTTCGGCAGCAGTGTTCGTCTTAAACCATTGGTGCAAGGTAGCAACTACGAGTAAATAATTAACAACTAATATTAATAAATATTTTAGTGGACAAAGTAAACATACAAGGTAAGTGATATTTAGAAAATATTCTAGGATTGTGTTATGTGTTGTGGTAAATGTGGTTGTAATTACATTCTATTCAATTTTAAGTGGTCTGTGCTAAGATATATTTCATAATCTGTCTTTTTGACCAGTACAGATCGTAATACGTCTGTCGAATATGTGTGCTGTAATTTGTTAAAGTAATAAGGTACAATGTGGGGTAATATGCTGCATTATTATTAACTGCAGCATAATACCCTAAAAAGCGGCGTATTCCTCCTCACTTTTCTTGTTTTGTTTCAGTGGTAATATCAAAATGCCACGAACCTACGTTCGAAAAAACCAAAGAGCCTTATGGTCGGAAGAAGATCTTCAAAATGACATTGCAGACCTTAACAATGGTAGAGGATCAGTTCGCCAAATTAGTCGTAGATATAATGTTCCTGCTCGTACGTCAATGAGGAGAATGCGATCTGGGAATTTTAGTAAACAAAAATTAGGCCGCAAAAGTTGTCCGAGTTCAGATCAGGAAGCTACTTTGGTAAAGTATATTGAAAGTATGGAACAGCATGTGTTTGCTCTTACTTCGGTTGATGTGAAGAAAATAGCATTTTCCTTTGCGATTCTAAACAATGTTCCAAATAAATTTAATGCGGACAAAAAACAAGCTGGCCATGACTGGTTTTGCTCATTTATGAAGAGACATCCGCAATTATCAATTCGCAAAGCACAAGGAATGTCTATAGCGCGAACACAAGGGATGTCCAGAGAAGAATGCGGACAATATTTTAATTTTTTGCAAAATACATTAACAGAGAATGATTTAATAAACACTCCGAGAAAAATATTTAATATTGATCAAACAGGATTACAACTAAATAACAATCCTGGGAAAGTTGTTGCCACCAAAGGCTCCAAAGCTGTAAATTGCGTAAAGTGCTGAGACGATCTCAGTAATAGCCTGCGTAAATGCAGAAGGTAATTTTTTTCCTCCCGTGTGCATTTTTAAAGGCAAGAAGAAGAAACAAGAATTTGAAGATGGTTTTCCTCCAGGTGGTAAAGTTATAATGAATACAAAGTCGGCATATGTTACAGCAGACATTTTTAAAATGTGGCTTCGAGAACATTTTATCGCAAGAAAGGAGCCAAGTAAAGTATCCTCACACTGTTCGGACGTAGAGATATTAGATTTGGCTGCAATGTTTGTCATCATGTTGTGTTTACCATGCCACACAACCCATTAGTTGCAGCCCCTCAATAGATCATTTTTTAAGCCTCTGAGAACTTATTGGTCACAGGCATGTAACAACTGGATACATACCGTCAAATGGGGCGAAGTCAATCAGGTGGGGTAATTTCCATCAACGGTGCATTATAATTTGTATTCGTGTATTGCCGTCTATTGAGAAATAGTAAAACTTTCGCACTACCGGGTTCATGAAGCTATAGATTTGCACAACTGTTGCATCTATCTACCTAAGCTTCCCATACGTTGAAAAGTTACCGAAGTCAGTTGTCATTTCTCTTGTGAATGTGCGTAGTTTTTCAAAGCTGTAAACAAACTTTTGGCGACAGCAAGAAGTTAGTGATTTTACCAAAGGGTTCAAACATTTTTAGTGCGTGGTTTGATGGCACTTAAAAGTTGTATACATTGTTGAAGTAACTTCATTGTGAGGTAAGTTATTTTTAGTGGTTTCCTAATTCGCATATGATAGGGGTGATTTCGATCAGGTTGTAACAATGCCGCGTGTGTACAAGAAGGTGCTGGGCTTTTCTGCAAAGAAGAATTACAGCGAGGAGTACCTTCAGAAGGCTACTAAGGCCGTTTTGACTAATCAGTTGTCTATCAGAAAGGCATCAGAACAGTATGCCGTGCCCTATACAACTTTAAATGATCGGGTAAAAAGAAGGCTCCAAAATCTTATGGTGGGCAACCAGTTTTAAGCCACGTAGACGAAACTGTTCTAGTAGAAGACCTAAAAAAGGTGCCGAATGGGGATTTCCTCTGAAGAGGATAGATATCCGAAACCTAGTACAAAATTATCTCAATCGAAGCGGCCGTACTGAAAGAAGATTTCGAGATAATAAGCCGGGAAAGGACTTTTTTTTAAAATTTATCAAGCGGCATCCAATTCTCACCGAAAGAATGTGTGAAAATGTTAAGCGTGTAAGGGCAGGAGTTGACAGGAATGCAATTAATAATTATTTCGATTATCTGGAACTCACCCTACAAGATGTACCGCTCATGAATATAATAAATTTCGATGAGACGAATTTTACGGATGATCCTGGGCAGACTAAAGTCATAATCTAGAGGGGTGTGAAGATGATCATGGATTCGTCTAAAATTAGCATCAGCGTAATGAATGTTCGCTGCAGCTGCAGACGGCAAGGTTTTATGTCCTCACACAGTGTATAAATCAAAACGCATATACCCAACATGGACCGAAGGTGGTGTCGATGGTGCTAGCTATAACCGAAATAGCAGTGGTTGGTTCGACTTCGAGATGTTTCAGGATTGGTTTGATAAGATATTATTACCCTATGTACGAATGAAGACGAAGACTGAATGGAAAAACTTGTATAATTGACGACAATCTGTCTAGTCATCTTTCGTTAGATGTGATACGTTCGTGTGAAGTTAATAACATCGTGTTTGTTCTCCTGCCGCCGAATGCCATTCACATTTGTCAACCACTGTATGTTGCTTTTTACCGGCCTTTAAGAGCAGCCTGGAGGAATGTTCTAGACGAATGGAAGGCATCGAATAGAGGAGTTGTGCCTAAAAGTGTATGGAAATACACTTGTTAAAAAGAACATTGGACAAAGTGGGTATAAATTTAGAGACCAATGTGATTGCTGGATTTGCAGCATGTGGAATAGTCCCTTTAAACAGAGAAAGAGTGTTGAAGAAGTTGCCAAAGCCATCCGAAGAGTGTTGAAAAAGCTGGACAAAGATGGAGTGTAACATTAATTGAACATCTTAACCAGTCTTTACCAAAGTGGGCGATAACGCCCCCTTGTGGGCGCTGCAGGTCTCAAGGGGGGCGGTATGAGACCCAGAAGAAAATGGGGGCGTTGTGTAGAGGCGGGCGGGCGGGGGGTGATTTGTAATTTTATTTAGCTAAGAGGCCTCTTAAACAACAACTGCAAGAGCTGTCGACTCTCAACAATAACTTGTGAACATCAACTAATATGAATTAAAAGATTGCTCAAACTCCGTTTTATATTTCTCTCCGCGTAGTTCATATATCTGTCCTATTTTATTGAATATAGAAAAAATTAATAGTTATTAGTACTCGTAGATATCTATCATGTTTTAACAAGTTTTTGTTAAATAACCCGAATTGTGCATTCCTGTATCAGTCGGCTGGTTCATTGAATGCTTGTTCGGACTTGTTGAGTACGATTGAGCATCGAATGAGATAAACGAGTTTATGCATGTTTGTTTTATTCCTGTCGGTGCGTGCTGCTTAAGCATTCCTATATAAACAATGTAATATTTATTTTATTTTAATTTGTGGTCTCGCGCGCAATAGATGAGCAGTACTTACGCCTCCTCTACTCGCGAAGTTGAACGTATTTCTCAAAGCAAAACAATGTCGGAAGTAAAAAAGAAGAGACGGCAATACTCTGCGGAATATATTAAATTCGGATTTATTGAAAATCCCACAAACCCATCGTCGCCTTTGTGTCTTCTATGTCTAAAAACATTTTCGAATGAAGCAATGAAGCCTTCAAGGCTGCAAGATCATTTGAATAAAATGCATCCAGATAAGAAAGACAAGAATGTAGCATATTTCCAAGACCTAGAGAAGAAGCATAATACTCAGCCAAGTGTAGTAAAACTATTTTCGGCGGCTGCTAAGCAAGATGACGACGGACTTCGAGCTTCGTACAATATCTTTTTGTTAATTGCTCAAAAAGGCAAACCACATAACATCGGAGAAGAGTTAATATTGCCAGCAATAAATGAAGTTATAACTACTGTGCTTCATAAACCGGCCGCAGATATTATCCGAAAAATTCCTTTGAGTAATAATTCTGTGCAAAGACGAATTGATGAAATGGCTGAAAATATTGAAGAATAATTGTGCGATCACCTGAGGACAAGTCAATTCTCAATTCAGCTCGATGAGTCCACTTTACCAACTAATGAAGCATTTTTGTTGTCTTACGTGAGGTTTATTAAAGATGAGAAAATATGTGAAGAACTATTATTTGCTAGAAATTTAGAGACCGATACAAAAGGTGAAACCATATTCAATACATTGGAAAAGTTTTGCGATGAGAAAGAGATTCCTTTGAAAAATATTATTTCAGTTGCTACGGATGGCGCTCCGGCTATGACAGGGTGCCATAAAGGCTTCATAGCGTACTTAAAAAATAAAATTCCAGATGTCCTTGGTGTACATTGCGTTATTCATAGACAACATTTAGTTGCTAGAAACTTAAGTGAAAAACTATTTCAATCACTGCAATATGTCATCAAAGCAGTCAATAAAATCCGCAACAGCTCTTTGAATGATAGATTATTTCATCAGCTTTGTGTTACTAATGACGAGGATTTCAACCGTTTGTTGTTTCATACTGAAGTTCGTTGGCTATCAAGAGGCAATTGTCTGACTCGATTTTACAACCTGTTTGACTCTGTTATAGAGTTCTTGGAAACTAAAGATACAGAATTGCACGACAAGCTCATAACATCAAAGAATGATATAGCTTACATGACAGACCTGTATAAATTGTTCAACGACATGAATCTCCAACTGCAAGGCGATAAACTAAATTTAATTAAAACAAAAAACGTCGTTGCTGCTTTCGCAGCCAAACTGCTTCTACACAAAAAGAATCTGGGCAGACGTGAGTTTCACAATTTTCCAAATTTATCAGTATCATGCAGTAACGACGAATTGTTTGCCTACTGCCAACATTTGGAAAACCTCCACATTGACTTCACCGAACGATACCAGGACATTTTGAACTTGGAAATACCAGACTGGGTGTTGGATCCGTTTTCAAATGTCAACACAGCAATGTCACCTCAGCTGGAAGAAGAACTTATAGAATTGACAACAAACGAGGAAATAAAAATCAAGTTCAAAAATGGTTACCAAGAATTTTGGCTTCAAAAACCGATCCCTCAATTGTACCCTGGATTGTGGTCAATCGTTCAACGATTCTTGATAGCATTCCCATCGTCATATTTGTGTGAACGTGGATTTAGTGCTGTGACAACACTGCTTACTAAAAAGAGAAATCGTTTGCTTGTTACCGAACGTGGCGACTTGCGACTGTTCTTGAGTAAATTGGAACCTGATATCAACAAACTTATTAAACAGCATCAGATTCATCCTTCACATTAGTTTTTATATAAGGATTGATTATTTTAGTTATATTTTTAATAAAAGATACTCTGTTTTAATACTATAAAGTTGCGTTTCAATAATCATTCTTATTGGCAGGTGGAGCCCGTAAGAGTTAACTTGAGACCTAAGCGCCGTTGTATGTTACCTACTGCGCTCAGGTTTCAAGTTGCGGGTTATAGTAAAAGTTTCGTTTAGAATTCTCCGTTAATATACATAATATACATATATAGGTCACAATAATTAATTAATTTAATTTGAAGTTATAGTGGTTTATAAATAGATGAAAAAATGGGGGCGCTAAAAAAATATTTATTCTCAAAGTGGGCAGTAGACAAAATAAGTTTGGGAACCACTGATCTTAACTTATGTCGATCAAATGCAACAACCGCAACGCGCCAACAGCGAGGCAATCGATTGAATATTTTTTCAGGGAAAGGTGTCGTAGTGAGCGATTTTAGTAGTATATATATAGCGACTCTGGATCAGAGTGGGGATGACTTTTTTTGGTATTATTATCTCCTTTCTACGCATGCGCGGGGCGTGGCTTGTAATTTTTTTTTTCTGATTGGTTTTTTTTTGAGAGGGGGCGTGNCAGGTTACCCTCTACTCTGTGACACCGCCTGATGCGCACCCTTGTCAGGACACTTACTCCGCCTTGGACATGGGTAGGGAGTGCTTCTACCCAGAGGACCGCTGACTTTTTGGCGCCTGTCGAGGTTCCCATGCGATTGCCACTACATGTTAGTGGCCACACCGAGAGAGCCTCCTTTTTGCCTCGGCAGGCTTTATTGCGGAGACGAGCGGACCACGCGTCAGCCTACCTCGTCTGTGCTGAGCTTACATCGCATTCGAATGTCAGCTGCCGCGTACTTTCCCCTCAGGGATTCCGCGGCTTCCTCTGGCACACCAGACGGATGCTTCCGGACCTCCGCCCGTGTCCGTCGGCTGCTTCCCACAATCACTTTTGCTTCCAGATGGCCGGGATACCTTTAGCTTTGCCATAACATATGTATACCCCGGAAGAACAGATAAGTAAACTCATGAGATCATATTACATGATTACGGACCGTTTCTCAAGCGCCCTTAAGTGGCTATTCCACACGATCTTGTGAACATTCTCTTACAAAGTTTCCAGCAACAATATGGACATTTTGGGACATCAAAATTATTTCTAATTTTAAAACCAATTTTATTTTTCCCAGAAATGTATAACAGAATCCGATGGTTTGTACGAGCATATGACGTTTGTTAGAAAGTAAAATTTACTTTCATGTATCTTGCCGGGTCTCCACAATCTATTGTTCGTGAAAATTTAGGAGACTTGATGACTGTCGACTTCTATGGCCCGCTCCCTGAGAGGCGTTCCAAATGCTCGTATATTCTTGTGGTCAGTAACTCGTTTTCAATGTTCGTCAAACTTTATCCCCTTAGACGTGCACAAGTTAAAATTTCCACTCTATTAACAATTTTTCCAAATTTATCAAAGTCAAATTTGTGTTATTAGGTCACGGTAATCAATTTACATCCAAAGCTTGGCAAGACCTTTTAAAGAAACACGGTATAATCCCAACATTCTCCCCATTCGAAATCCAGCTGCAAATTCGACCGAACGAGTTATGAAAGAGTTAGGACGATTGTTTAGAACCTACTACCAACTATCACATTCTGGTGGAGTGAACAAACTTCAGGATATCTAAACACTTTGCAATGAGACTCCCAATTTGTCCACTGGTTACTCACCTTTGGAAATCCTAAATGGACATAACGCTCCAAACCCACTAAGTAATTTAATTTCTTCCTACCTGTCCCGAAGTACCCACAAAACCATTGACGAAATAAGAGACGAAGTTCGTCAAAGACTAAATGACCTAGTACTACTTAGAGAAAACCCCGTGTCAGATCTTTCGAAAAAAAATAATATACAAATTTTGTCCGTTATATTCTGGTCCTTATGTCACCGCAAAGCCCTACCGTAATGTAAGGAATCCCAAATATTACTATAGGGCTTACAATTCAATATTCAGGCAGACTGTTTAGGATGGTGAAAGTTCATTTTGTGGCTTCCATAAACTTTCAAAGGGGCGTTCTAAAGGTGTTCCCTTTGTTTAAATTTAAATTAGAACGGTACTAATTTAAAATAATTAAAACTAAATTTATTTATGCGACCTCTTACGGTTGACATGGTAGTTCTTGCAGGAGATTCTGTGGATCGATAGAAAAAAAACTGTTTTAACAGCGCGAGAGTNTTTTTTTTCTAGAACCTGAAGATACCACATCGTTTCACATATGGTTTAAAATTAACGACCATAATTCGGAACCGTGGTTAATCTCAGATCTCAAGACATCAGAATATGTCAGATTGAAACGTACGTATATAGTAATTATAATTAATACCAATAATAGTTTTTTAATAATTCCTGCTGTTGCTGTTATGAAAAATGAAATTGAGCTCTCGAAACCAAAAACTGAGGATGGAGTTCAGTTTAAAAATCATTTATTATCTTCTCTTGATCAACAATTTCATGATAATGAGTCATACCCGATATTATCTGTTGCAACTATCTTGGACCCTCGATTCAAAAAATTACATTTTCAAAAGGCTATGCATGCCGCAGATGCGGTTGAGTACGTTCGTAAAGAAATGAAGTCTAGTGTCACTTCAACCTCTACATCTCAATTAGTTTCAACTACAGTAAATTTTGAAGCTCAATTAAATAAAAATAATATTTGGCGTCACCACGATCATGTTGTTGCTAAAACAAGTAAAGCAAGTTATTCGTTGGATGGTATAACATTTGAGCTGAAGCAATACATTACGCAGCCTGTCATTCCAAGAAATGAGAACCCTTTGAAATATTGGCAGCTTTTGAAACCTTCCTTCCCAAACCTTCACCAGATTGCGATGAAGTATTTTTGTGTAGTCGGAACGTCAGTTCCGTGTGAACGGCTCTTCTCTGAAGCTGGAAATATCAAGACTGATGACCGAAATCGTCTTACTGGGGAGAATTTAGATAAGTTACTTTTTTAAGTAGTTTAACTTCAGAAGATTGAGGTTTTGATCTATACTAAATTACTGAATTATCACCATTATATTACTATTATACTTGTCTTTGGATAAATGATTAATCATCAGTATCGGTCATTATTTTAAGATTGCTATTGTGATAATAGATATAAAAAAAATTTTATTTACTAA